CTTCAAATTCAACTTTTTAGTGGGAACTAATCAAAATCAGACTAATGAAATTGCAGAGGTTTTTTGACAGCAAGCAGCTAATTTATTGAGCAAGTATTTTAGTTGCTCGATATACCTGCTCTCGTTGGATTCGTTATCCACACAAAAAATCTTCGACTCTGTGGAAGTTCGAATTCCATCCATTCCATACATTCCTGCATCATTAGGGGTGAGGCTTGGCAGGCGGTTTGCTCTTCTATTGTTACACCTTGCTCATATATTTTATACTTTCGCCAGTAGTTTTTGTCGAGTATCTTATAAATTTTAATGAAGGTGTATTCCGACCACGTCCGTGTCGCTATCGAAAGAACGTTGGAAAAACCTGAAAAATTAGAAAAGTAACTGAAACTATATTAAGAATAGTGTAAATAATATTATCCATTTTGGACATTGCTGCAGTACAATCTAAGTTAAATATTCCGTATCGCTGAATACATTCCCAGTGCCTAAGAACGTATGCGTTACATATGCAGTGGATTATCTTGTAATAGTCATATTTATTAATAATATCTAACATTTTAACCTACATTTTTCTTGTAAAAATCACAGTATCCCACATAGCTACCACGTACGATCTCTTTGAGAGTGACGTGAGATTGTAGCATGCACGTTTGATTTTTCTATAGACTAAAGATTCCAAACAAACTTAAATTGTAACCTTTTTATGCCACAGTATGCTAAATTTCGTGTTTTTTTTTTTTTGGGCTGGATGAGCCACTGTTGGCCTTAGGGGCCTTTACAGATCCGGACGGACTTGAGGTGGCCTGGCGCACGAGGCGCCTAGCCTGAACTTCGGCGTACTATTATTACGCGTTATCGTGACTAAGCTCGAGGGCTCCCGGGGGAGCCTCGGCTCGGGCCGTCACGCTATTATTATCACCGGTTTGGGAGGCCGCCAAGCTCTTAGGGCGCTTTGGCGGGCGCTCCATAGAGTGATCAGGCTCAAGGGTCCCCGAGAGGGGACCTCGGCTTGGGCTGTCACTCAGCACGCGTTTAGCATTCCGATTCGAGGGTGCCCGAGAGGGCCGGACCTCGGCTCGATCGGTAGCTATTATCTGACTGGGGGAATTACTAGTGCTAACATTACTACCACTTCGGAGAGCGTTGGCGCTGGGAGAAGAAGTGGCGGAAGAAACTCCAGCAACGCTTCTATCATTAATAGGGGAAAACCTGCCAGGTACGTGGCGGAACCTAGTATATGTTTGCCGCACTCGCCGGCGAGTGCGGTGTGTGTGTTGGTGTGTTTCTTGAGTTTTTTGATCCTTTCGATGGCGATAGTCGTCTCATCGTCAGGGAAGTCGAGAACGTGACGCGGTCTTCGGTAATCGCGGCGGAAAATATTTAGCGGCAAGGGCCTGTAGGTGACGGCACCTACGATAAGTGGGTTGGGATGCGCGGCGGCGGAATCGAAATATCGGCGCGACGCCGACTTCAGGAATTGCGCGATGGTGGGCAATTCTAGATCGACATGTAGGTCGATATTGCGCATGAACCAGGGTGCTCCCGTGGCTCTGCGCAAGAATCGATTTTGAATCACCTGAAGCCGGTGTATTTGCTTCGGAGCAATGTGAGCGAAGACGGGGCTCGCGTACGTCATGATAGGGCGAACTACTGCCTTATATAAGATCACCTTGTTCCGAAGGGACATTTTTGACGTTTTATTGAGGAGCGGGTAGAGGCGACCGAGTACGAAGGCCGCCCGGTTCCTGACCTGGGTCACGTGCTGGGTGAATTTAAGCTGGGAGTCGAGGACGACGCCTAGATATTTGACTTTATTAACCCATGGTACTGGGCTGTCCAAAAGTTTAACGGGGGGTGGAATGGGTATGTTCTTTTTGTGCGCGAAAAGGACTGCCGCGCTTTTGGCGGGATTGATTTCGATCCTCCATTGCCGAAACCAGTCACCGATGGTGATGGCCGCAGCTTGGAGGCGTCGATGGATCAATTCGGGTGTTCTGCCTGTGGTATAGATACAGGTGTCGTCGGCAAAAAAAGCAAGTTCTACATCTTTGACACGCGGCATGTCATTGGTGTAGAGAGTGAACAAGACTGGTCCCAACACCGTGGGGCACCCCGGCTCGAACGGGATGCGCAGTCGAACACACGCCCTCGACGCGTTAGCGAAAGGTTCGATTACTTAGGAAGTCTCGTATTATGCATACGAGACGGTCGGACACTCCGTACCCGTATAGCTTGTATACGAGCCCGTTGTGCCAGACTTTGTCGAACGCTTTTGCCACGTCCAGGAAGAGTGCACCGGTGTTGAGTCCTCGTTGACGTTTAGTTAAAATGTGCTCCGTGATGCGGTGCACTTGATGGGTACATGAGTGTTTGGCTCTAATCCAAACTGCTCTGGGATGGGGAGCCCTTTGGTGTCCATAAGGGATCTTAAGCGGGCTAATATTAGTCTTTCAAAGATCTTCCCAAATGTTTTGAGAAGACTTATCGGACGATATGAGGTTGGGAGAGTGGCGGGTTTAGAGGGTTTGAGGAACCCTATGACATCGGCTTCCTTCCATTCGGATGGGAAGAAGCCTTCGGTTAAGGCCGCGTTGTAAATTAATACTAGTATCTGAAGGATGCTAGTAGGGAGGAGCTTGGTCACCTTATTGGTGATACCATCTGAGCCTGGTGCTTTACGCGGGCGTAGTTTATTAATGGTGCCTATTAGTTCGGAGCACGTGACTGGGGGAACGGGATCGCGAAGTGGCTCTAAGGCTTTCCTTTCTACCTCTTCGTTCACCTTGCGGAGGTGTTCGGGGTCGATCGGAAGCAGACTGGGGGAGCATTGAGACTCTAGGCTGTCAGCCAGGCATTCGGCCTTCTCTTCGTCCAGCATTGCTGGCGTACCTATCGGACGGACTAGTGGCGGCATGGTTGTTATGCCGTTACCCTTGAGGGATTTGGGAAGTTTCCAGAAGGCTACGTGGGATGGTTTTACTGAAGTTAGGGTGGAGTCCCATCGTTCGTTTCGTGAGTCTGCTATGCGTGTTTTGACCTCACGCTGCAATTTACGTAGCAGTCTACGATTCGAGTCGGTGGGATATCTATCGTAGGCTCGAGTGGCCGCATTCTTGCGTCTCAGCAAGTCTCGCACATCGTCTGGCAGGGCCCAGCGATGGTCTTCCATCGCCGGGACCTGTCTCGAGCATTGCTCGACGATGGTGTTAACGTGGCTTGTGAGGGCTCGAATTGCGGTTTCCGTGTCCTGTTTGGTATTCAATTCTCTAGGGATTGACTCTAGTTGTGGAGGATTAGGTTCGTTAAATTTAGATTTGATTTTATGCCAGCTGATGACAGTTTTGGTTAGGGGAGCGGCTGTTGCTGAAGGCCCTAGCCGGAGGAGAACTGGTCGGTGATCGGAGTGAAAATTTCGTGTCCTCGTGTGCCTTTAGGTTGTAGGCATGATTATGGCTTTTTAGAAAAGATGAGCAAGTCAAAATGTTGTTTAGAAGACGAGACTGAATAGAAATATTGATATTAAGCTAAAACTATCTTTTTTTTTTCTATTTAATTATAAAATTACCGATTTACCTTAATTAATTTAATTTTCTGACAGTGAAAAGGTTTTTGAACAACATTTATTCCTAAAGTAGAAGTAATGTGAGAAAAATAAATATTTTAGCTCTTGCGTGTATGCGTAAGATTTACTGAGGAGAGGTAAGGGTGAGGGGGGATGTAATATTAAGGCTAAAGAAATAATACGAAAATCATTGCTATCGTTTATTGATTTAAAATACAAAACTTAGTGACATAAAGCTCTATCCTTTTATTGTTACAGTGCCCACGAACCGACAATCCGATAGGAAATAAACATTTAGCTCTCGCCCACCTAAACACGTCACCGCCGTACACGCCATCCACGCCTGTCACAAAAGTATAAATAAATATTCAAGTATGTTACATACTCAAGCGTGAAACGTCTAGGGTCGTCCTTGAGTAGCGGATTCGGGCTGGAGACTATTCAAATAGGTTTGGTGTTCGTAGTGTCGTCACGCGGCGACAAGCTTGTCGTATGGTATATGTCAACGGCAGATTTCCCTGTCGCCGCCCGGGGAGGGAGCGGCCGATAAAACTAATCGATTATACAATTATGCTTATGTGTAAAATAATCAATGAAGCAACTCTCACCCCGTGCACAGCGCTCCTCTGGGGGCATCGTGTTAACAGTAGTTATATATATCGACTATTACAATAAAAAATAAATACAGTTATACCATAAATAATAGACGGAAACCTGCCCGCGATTACAATTTAACACCCTATTTTTATCATTCCATCCTCCTGTTTCCCATACCTATTTCTTATATTCCTAACGTTCCTACAACCTCATGAAGCAAAAAAGTATTACAGTAAATATTATACAGACAATCGAAAAAATGTATAATAGTTTTCACAGAACAGATTGTTTGGGATTCAGGAGACAGATTCAAATCTACATATAGAATCTAAACGAGAACGTTCGGGAGGGGGGGGGGGGGGGTAAGAGGGGGTAGTGGGAGAAGGGAAGGACTGTCACAGCGCTTCAGGCGTGAAACTAACGGGTTCGCTACCAACGAATACTTTCATGCTTCATGCGCGAAAACAATTACACCACACGAGTATGCCTGGGTGGGTGGAGTTGGGAGCGGGGACGGGGTAAGGTAGAAAGGAGGGGGAGGGGCAGGGAGTTTAACAAAACAAAATTAACAACATCGGGTAGCTCGGGAGGGTCTCGTGTACACAGATAGAGAAACAAAAAAAAAAAAAAAAAAACAAGAAACGTGTAAACCAAACGAGCGCGGGTCAACGGTTCCCGCGCGGCGCGAGACACCGCTCCCGCTCTACTAAACGCCCCGACGGCGCCATTGCGGCGGCAGAGCGTGAGAAAAAAGGGAATGGAGTCCCTCCGCGCGGAGGAAGTGAAACTTCTCTCGCTCTGTCTCTTTCTATTCCCCCTCCCCGGGAGCGTTAAACGTTTAACGCAACCTTGTTGGAGGTCGCATTAGAAGTTTCACTTCAAAAGCTTCGCGCGGGCTGGGGGCGAATACGGAACCGAGCGCTCGGCGCCGAGCAATGGGGCAATCGGGGCCGTCGCGGGACCGCATCGGGCCGTTATCCGCCGCGGACCCCTATAATCGCACGGGGCGTATATTCCGTAAAAAAAATATCCAACGCCGCCGGGTACAGTCGGCGACGAATAACGCCGCGGTGCGGTCTCCCTCACAAAGTTCCGGCACAATAAGGCAGTGATACAGTAGTGTAATGCAATAATGTACAAAATATTATCCCTTACAAAGTTTACGACCAGTCTGTTGCGATGAGGTTAGTCTATTGTAGATTCAAATCCAAAAAAGGTTGAACAAGTCTGTAATTCACAATTTGTTAACTCCTATCTGAAGTACCCAATGTTTTTTTTTATTTATTTATTTCATACATGTCTCAACATTCCCGTAACCTACAAGTACATTTTGTGTTTTATTTTTTATTTATATTTTTAATAGAATTACCTATACACTATCTCTGTTTTACATATCGTCTGAATATTCCAATGGGTCAAAAATAACCTATATGCTTTTAACACAACATCAGTGTGTCGTGCATAACCTCAAACTTCACGCATTCGAGATTGAACTAAACAATTTACAATATACAACAACTCTGAAATGCGAGGGCAACGTTTCAAATAATTTACAACAACGTCTATTTCTTTTTATGTTTAGTATCGAAATGGAAACGATTTGTGCAATCGAAAAATATTCATATATATCAAATATCTATTTGTTTTCCTATCTCACCGGTCACTTTGCTTTCGGTAAAAACAAATTCTGAATTGGCCCTTTCATTGTTCAGTCATAAGTTGTCGACACTTTTAAAAATATAAAGCTTGCGATAATTAACTGAATGAGAAGCTTAACTAGCATAGACCATAACTAAACTATAGATTATCCAGTTTTATTTGCAGTCTGTATCCATTATTAGTCGGGTTCTCTAAGATTTATTTACAATATTTATTTTCTACCATATTGCGTCCTTGATATGCATTGCGTAACAATAAAAAAACCTAGCTTTCATGCCCTTGATGCGTCCGTACGTGGTGTGAGGGGCCACTGGCGACCCCTCGGGACCCCCTCACTAATTAAGCAATTAAGAAATAATACAATACATGTTACAATGTAACAAAACGTCACCATAATGTTCTCTTTACAGTCAGACTTATCGCGTTTAAATAAAAAATATAGAGTTATAAATATGGATTCAGTCCATTCGCCGCCACAGTCGAACTCTGGACGTGCCGGTGCCAAAGCCGCACCGTCCCCACCCCCCGCCGTGCACTGGACGTGCAGCGGCCATTTTTCTTGCCCCCTGCCCACCTTTTACTTATACTAGACCAACCGTCGCGTGCGTCCGCTACCGGCTTACAAAATACTAGAGCGTAATTATGTCTATCGTCTTCGATTATGGAGCAATGAATTAATCTAAAGCCAGTTTCCGCTTGCGCGCCCGCTTCCCGCGCCGCTCGTGGGTCTAGCGCCACTGCACTGAAGCGCGGCCCTTGTCTGGGTCCTTTGCAATTAAACTAAACGCTCGGCTAGAGTACAAAAAGTCACATTTCAATGTCATTTTAGCTATACAACGCGAACGTTTTTATTTTTCCTTTTACGTAGAGCACCGTACATGACAGGGTGTCCTTCGTCTCCCGCACTCACATAACCGTTTTTCAGCACGACTGTCCCGCCACAGTAGGTCCCATCTCGGTACCGATCACTATTTTCCGCTTCCGCCCCGCCCGCAGATTTCGCGGGGCGCAGCGACTTACTGAGAGTTGCAGAGCGACGCTCATCCTTCACCCGCTCGGGAGTCTGCATAATCCGAGAAGCGCATCCTACTGTATATATGCCGCCCCGCACACGCTGCGATGAGCGTGCACCGTGCGGGCGCAGCGGGAGCGGGAACTGACGAGTCCGCTCTACAATCCACCCGTCAAATCGCTGCGGGCCTAAGCGTGAGCGTGTTCGACGCCCGTCTCATTCCTCGTACCGCTGCCGAGTCGATGTCGCCCGCGCGAGTGCCGGCGTGTCGTCCGCCCCGCTCCGCCCGTGCCCGCCCGCTTAGCGCGCCCGCTTCCGCTTCCGCGTCCGCCTGCGCTTCCTCGGCGCCCGCTTCGCCCCGGCGGCGTGGTGCGCGGCGCGAGTGCGGGCGGTGGCCCGGCGCTAGTGTATCGCGACGGGGCTGTGCTGCAGCTGGCACACGGGCTGCAGCATGTCCTCGTCGCGACGCACCCCCTCCACCTCCATGCGCTCCGCGGGGCCCCACAGCCGGGCGCCGCCCACTGCACGGGGAACGAGCGGTGCTCCGATATAGAAACGGTCGGTATATTTAGCTTATATCACGGTCTTACTAAGAAAAACTTATGACTTTGTAGACTTATGTAATTTACAAAAAAAATGTATAATATAATAAGACTGAGTTTCTTGTCGGTTCTTCTCTGGACAGGTCTAGTTTAGTGAACCGGTGATAGGTTTTTTACGTTCAATAAGAGCTTAAAATAAGCCTATATTGAATAAAGAAATTTTTACTTTGATTTAAAAAAAAACTGAACTTGAGAGAATTACATTTTCTTAATAAGACCAGTGTGATTAATATTAGATTTGAACAGCGACTTAAAGAAAATGTCATATACATTCAAATAAAAGATTCGTTAAAAATGTAACATTACAGCGACTTATAAATACATATCTTTTAAAATATTGTTATAAATATAACTATCAAAGTCGCCATTCAAACAATCGATAATATATATGATATAAAGATACTTAAATACTAATTAAATGACGACAAGTTCAACATCTTATAATGTACGAAAAGACTTTTAAAATATTAATTATTTGAAGATCGTCATTTAATTTGCTAATAGTTACGAAAGGAACATCCTTGTCTGTTTAAAGACAGTTCACAAATTAAAAAATTTAATTTTGGAAAAATTACTACAGAGAAGGATATTCGAAACTCTTTACTTCTAAACTTACTTTTACTTAAGATAAAATTTTATGCTAATTATTTTACGTGACTATGGAATAAATTGTGTAAATAGGTTCACTCGCAACTAAACCGCGTTATCTCTAAAATAAAATTACTGTGGAATAGATGGTCTCACAATTATATCCTAATAGTTAACCGAATAACTCAGGTTTGCTATTGCTACACGAACTACAGTAGGAATCCGCAATTACATTTTATATTCTATTTCGAATTAAAAATAAACTATAAACAGACAGTCCATTTTTTATTTCCTCATCAGTATGGTAATAAATGTAGCTGCAGATTTCAACACACAAATAAGCCATGCAAATAGAACTGAAGGAAGGGCATGCGATGGAACGGTGTCGGGCGACTAACATGGGGGGGGGGGGGGGGAGTTCCGCACAGTTTTGATTAACCGAAAACTATCACACTCCGCCACCTAAAAAATAACATCATAAAAATTTTAATTCCGTTTAAAACTATTCATTGGTGGCGGGAGGCGAATGTGTCGGTCAATTAATCCGTGCATATAATGCATTGCTTAAAAGTTCAATATCGGAAATCTATTACAATCGTAATTAATTATTTGCACTCACTTTGCAATAATTATTTCACGATTCCGACTAACGAGTGGACGTGATGGTTCATTATTTCCGTTCTAAATTCGAATACAAGTTTTTTTTTTTATGTAAGAAGGTGGCAAGCGAGCTGGCGGTTGATCTGATGTTAATTGTTAACCGCCCGCCCACGGATATTTGCAACACCCGTAGGGTTGCGGATGCGTTGCCACCTTTGAATATAGTGGGCCGCGACCTGCCCATTCGTGCGACAGCCGAAGCAGTTGCGTGGCCCTACCGTAGTTGTTTTTTTTTAAATTCCGATTCGTCTTTTGAGCAATGATCAATTCGGTGTAGAGATCGGGTCAGGGGCGAGGGGGTGTTAGACATTCGGTGATTAACAGACGGCAGACCTGGCAGGCAATGGTTAGGCACTAGTTGGCGGCGCTAGTGAGGCGCGGGCGCGCCGCCGGACCGCTCTAGTCATCGCGGGTCCGACGGGCCATCTGCCACGGGAACGTCGCCATTATAAACACTAGACAATAGGGCTCTTTTTCCGCCGGCAAACAGCGGAATAGCGGAACGCTCTTATTCGCAACAGCTGGGAGACTCGCGAGGAGTGTCTTGTGTATGGGATGACTTACCACATGTACATGGTTAAATGAAAAAAAAAAAAAAAAATACATTTTTTTTTGACGCGACAAACTCCGTAATACGTTCATTTAACCATGTAAAATATTCACGTAAAAATATGACCATATATAGCTGACTTACATCATCGCATGGAAGGAAAGGCGATTTCTAAACGAAACAACCTTCAAATGTAACGCCTTTCCTCCCATTCAAGTGGTTGTTAAAATGTATATTATGCGCCCATACATTTTAGAAACCACCGTAAACGGAAACACTTCTTGAGAATGATTACGCGTAGAACGAGGCAAAAATTAAAGTTGCTTATGAATTCTGTTATATATAGCAAGACGGCAAAGATGTTTAGATTTCCAGTTCGCAATTGGTAAAGTGTTCCCGTTGTTTCACACCGCGTAATCAGAAATAATGGGAAATGAAGAATAAAGCGTATGTGTTAGCACATATCACGACACAAGCTCGAAATGACAACGTAAGACCAATTAGGCTACACAGTTATAAAACGGCAGTACACATCGATCCCTTAGAAAAAAAAAATATAAATAGCCTCAATCAACATCAATGCTATGCCTTGGTATAAACAATCAGCCACACACAGATATGTAATTAATTTTAGATATTTCAAACAACTTGTATGGATTTTGAAAAAATGATACATTTTTCTATTAAGCACCAATCAAGTAAAATAGTTTTTATTAATTAATTCGTATCAAGGAAGCGAAGCCATTATCAACGGAATCCTCGAATAATAAAAAAAAACTTATTATAACCAATTTGCAGTTATTATTATTATATAAATAATAGAAATTAACTATGTAAAACTTCGACATTTTTATAAAGGACGTCAATATTTTTATGAACACACAAAGGAACTGTTGAGTGTAATGTTAAATTGATATAAACACTAGGTGTTATAGCTTAATACCATAGAGTGCTAATAATTATAGTTTGATTTGTTCTCTTCTTTATGGTAAAATTAAAACAATATGGCGAAATGTGTAATAAGTTGAGAAGCGTTAGAAGAGTTTAAGTTACATTATAAAAGTGTGTACCGTAGTAGACATTAAAGGAAATAACATTTAGAACACTGCGTTTCACTCTGCGCTATAAAACCTCAACAGGTTATGGGCCCAGGCAGAGTAATTAAGAAAAGATGAAACAAGTAACAAGCACGTTGTTTAAACTTAATGGCGTCGATGATTGGCCCACGTGGAAATTTCAGACTGAAATTTTGTTAAAAGGAAGAGGTCTATACCGGCACATATTAAAAAGAGAAGATATAACGGTAGATGACAGAAAAGAAGAGGCATTCTGGAAAAAACGATGCGAAGGCTCAAGAGGTTATTGTCTCACGCATGGGAAAAGGCCCACTTACCCATATTTTAAATTATGGTAGTGCAGCAGAGATGTGGGCTCGATTGAAATCGGTATTTGAAAAAGAATCGAACGTTACTGTACATCTTTTGCAACAAAAATTTTTTAATCTCCAATTTGAAGAAAATGTTTCGATATTTATGTCACATCTAGAAGAAATAAGGAGCAAATTAGCACAGCTGGGTGAAACTATCTCTGAAAAAATGGTAATAACTAAAGTTATTATGGCTTTGCCAACAAAGTACCAGCATTTTCAATCTGCATGGGAGTCAGTGCCGCAGGAGCAACAGACTGGAGTTGTTAACATCTCGTTTGTTAATAGAAGAAGAGAGATACAATGCGGAGTCCACCCATACAATTGCAGCATTGCATACAAGTGGAGGCAAGAAAAGTGTGAGCCATAAAGAAGTGAAAAGAGATAATGGTGTATGCTATATTTGTAAGAAGCCAGGGCATTATGCTAGAACTTGCAGTCGAAAAAGGGAAAAAGAGTGTTTTTATTGTCATAAGTTTGGGCATAAGGCAGTGGACTGTTGGAATAGACAAAGGAAACATGAATACAGTAAAAGGAGTCCAAGATGTGAACAAAAGCCTAGTGAGAAAGGTGAGAACAAAGGTCCAGAAAATGTGTTCATAGTGGATGATCAGATGGCAAGGTCGTCATTATGGTGTCTAGACAGCGGGGCAAGTCAGCACATGTGTTGGAACAAAAATTTGTTCACAACATTCAGTGCACAGTGTACAAGTGATAGTGTAGTAGTTGGCGATGGAAACATGTTAAGTATAGAAGGTATTGGGACAATAGAGTTATATGCTAAAGTAGGGAAAGAGTTTATAAAAACAACAATTTCAAAAGTTCTGTATGTGCCTAAATTAAAATATAATTTATTTTCTGTTGGATGTACTTTGGATAAAGGTTATACATTAAGATCTAATAAAGACCAGTGTAAAATTATAAATAAATATAACCAAACTTGTGCTGTAGCGATAAGAAAAAATAAGTTATATGTTATGCAATTTGGTAACTGTCAGGATGAATTCTGTATGTCATTGCTTTATCAAAATGTCAAATGCTTTAATGTCACAAAATTAGAGAGCTTACAAACATGGCATGAAAGATTAGCACACCAAAATATAAAACAAGTTAAATATGTATTGGAAAAGTTTAATATTAAATACAAAAGTGGTGTAGAAGTTATGTGTGAAAAATGTTTACAAGGAAAACAGTCGCGAAAACCTTTACCTCAAAGTCATAGCCGTGCAGTGGAATGCTTAGAGTTAGTGCATGCTGATGTTGCAGGACCTATGGAGGAACCGTCTTTAGGAGGTGCAAGATACTTTCTCCTTTTAAAAGATGACTTCTCAAGTTACCGGTATGTATATTTTCTCAAACAGAAAAGTGAGGTTAAAAGTTGTATTGAGAGGTTTATAAGTGAGGCTGAAAGAGAGACAGGATGTAAAGTAAAAGTTATAAGATCAGATAACGGCTTAGAGTTTTGTAATAGCGAGATGAATAAAATATTAACAAAACAAGGAATCAAACATCAGAGATCTGTTAGTTATACTCCAGAACAAAATGGACGGGCTGAAAGGGAAATAAGGACTTTGGTAGAGGCTGCAAGAAGTATGATACAAGGTATGAGTAAGAAATATTGGGCAGAGGCTATTAAACACTGCAGCTTACACCTTGAATAGATCGGGACCCAGTCCTGTAATAGGCAACACACCA